CTGTGAGAGGAGAAACACCTAATGATCAGATTTATTGCTGGAACTATTTTTTTGTATAGACCATTTCACAAGATGTAAACAACACTGGTCCAGAAACACTTTCTGTTTCAGTTTGTAACTGTTTACTTTATTTCACATGTAAAGAAAACATCTTAAAGATGCTTGTTTAACTTTTTGATTCAGTTTTAAATGTTCTGTTGGTTGTATTTTATCCCAGCTTTTATGTAGTGTTAAAAAACTGAAACAGGAAGTGCTTCTGGACCAGTGTTGTTTACATCTTGTGAAATGGTCTATTGCTTTACACCACTGCGTTTTTAAACTCTTGACTCTAATTGGTTGACACAAATCTCAAAATTGACAATTAATAGTTGTATTATTATTTTTTTGTTGTTCAACCCATTCTTGTAAACATTTCCTCTACTGCTTACTTTTTTCCTTAAAATACTAAATACCAACCCCCCAAAAATAAACGTTTTATTTTATTTATAACAAATTATTTATTTTTTTTACAACATTTTAATGTTTCTGTATTACGTTTTAATGGTTACAATAAAATATGTTAGTAATCAAAAATCATATCTAATTAATTGAAATCATTAAACTTGCACCATTTAACAACTATTCATTTAGCAAATTTAGCAAAAAAAAAATATATATATTTTAGGCCATTATTAAATCAGTTTTCACCACAACTTCCATTTCATTTTCTCCACATTATCTAATTCGTTAAAACTTTTTTATTACATTATTATAAGGCCCTTTGAAATGTCTGTTTTAATCTTTCTGGATGTAAAATATGTATTATTCTTTAAAATTGTAATCAAATAATCAAATTTATTGTACGGTAAATAAAAATGGTCCATGTTTTAAAATGAAAACATGGGGGAAGATTGTGTGATATACCATAAATAAATTGTAATAATGTTACTGTATTATTATTATTAGTTTGAGAAGTACATTTTACTGTCCATTACTAATATATTTCTGTCACAATATTAAAGGAGTAGTTCCCTTTTAAAAAAAACTTTTGCTGATAATTTACTCACCCCCATGTCATCCAAGATGTCCATGTCTTTCTTTCTTCAGTTGAAAAGAAATTAAGGATTTTGATGAAAACATTCCAGGATTTTTCTCCATATAATGGACTTCAATGGGAACCAAACGGTTCAAGGTCCAAAAGACAGTTTCAGTGCAAACTGTTCAAAGGGCTTTAAACGACACCAGACGATGAATAAGGGTCTTATCAAGCGAAACGATCGTTCATTTAAAAAAATAACAAAGTTTAAGTTTTATAAGCTCAAATGGTCGCCTTGCTCTGTTCTGTGACGCTCGTTCGTGACTCTCCTGTTCGAACTCGTTCATCAAAATGAACAAATCTTTTTTCGTGTCATTTGGTTCATTCAACGAACGAAATGAACGAATTGACTCGAGAAAAGCTTCGTTCGTTTAGATAAACAAGTTCGAACAGGAGAGTTACGAATGTGCGTCAACGATCAGAGCAAGGCGAGCATTCGAGCTTATAAAACGTAAACTTTGTTGTTGTTTGTTTTTTTTTTTTAATGAACGATCGTTTCGCTAGATAAGACCCTTATTCATCGCCTGGTGTCGTTTAAAGCACTTTGAAGCGGCACTGAAACTGTCTTTTGGACCTTGAACCGTTTGGTTCCCATTGAAGTCCATTATATGGAGAAAAATCCTGGAATGTTTTCATCAAAAACCTTAATTTCTTTTCGACTGAAGAAAGAAAGACATGGACATCTTGGATGACATGGGGGTGAGTAAATTATCAGCAAAAGTTTTTTTTAAATGAACTACTCCTTTAAGTGAACTTTTATTTTGAAGGGTTTTCGTGAAAACGATTCACGTGATCATGGCCTTATATAATGAGACGGAAGAGTGCCACACATTGTGATTAATTGCACAGCCCTTACTCATCTAAAATTGCCAAATTCTGACACATTTCATGTTATACTGTAAAATCCATTGTTAGGACTGGATCCAAAGCATGAATATCACATCAGATCAAGCTTTATATTTGTGAGGAAGATGCATGAAACTGCTTTACTAACAAATGTGCTTTACTGAACATCGGTTTGGAGTTTAAACGTCATCAGATAAATGAGTGTGTGAGCGGTTCTGACCAAATATGCCCTTATAGTGTGTCTGATGGAGCTCTTCGTTCCTGAACTTTGCCCCCTGCAGCTTCAGCCGTGTGTTCACCACCCACATGGGAGTCGTCAGGAGAACATTAACAGCGCCTGCATCATGGCAAACAACAGTGAGAAGAAGAGAGCGGACATTATCACTTCAATGACTGATTAGCTGTTAATTGCTAACCGGTAATATTAATATTTACAATGTCAAACTAACATTGAAAAGTACAGACAACTAGTGCTGCACGATTTGGAGGAGAAAAAAAACGAATTGCGATATGTCGGATTGAAATTACAAAAGTTTAAACAATTTAAAGTTTAAAGACGTATCAATATGGCAATATGCTAATTATTCTAATAATTAATGTTATATAAAATGTATGTACTAAATAAAATAAAAATTCAATTGTATATTTCATTGTAAAAAAATATTTAAGAAAAATAATGTAAAAATGTATTTTAGAATACAACCAGTGTTATTTATTATAGTTTTTTTTTTATAGCATTTATTGTTATATTTTTGCTTTTCACGTGAATTTTAGTTTTATTTTCAAATATTGCTAATTAGGTTACATTTATTTTTATTTCGATTTTAGATTTCTATTTATTTCTAGATTATAAATGTAGTGCTTCAGCTTAAACCACCACGGCAACATTACTAATTTCCGTTTGAAGGTTTTCAACTAATATTTCTATTTTAAATAATTTAAGCATCATTTCATTTTACAGAAATGTTTCAGTTAACAATAACAACGGTGATTACAACAGGGAAATTATAATACTAATATTTAGGTATTTATTAAATTTTCCAGCAAAACCTTCAAACCTTTATTTTGACAGATAACTGTAGGGAGCCTTTTATTCTGAAATACGCAGCTCATTTATTTATGTATTTAATTAAATCCCAGCCATATTGCGCGCAGCAGAACACCCCGGTTTTAGCAAAAGAAACATGGTGGTAAGAGTGAAACTGAGATGGGTTCAGCACAACATTACAGTACCTGATATGAAGCCCATGAGCAAATCTGTGGCAGGCTTGGGCCGGTCTGAGACCATCGCTCTCTTCAGGGTGTTGAATGTGTAGAAGTAGACAAAGTTAGAGCAGCACAGGCTAGAAATGACCGGAAACCAGCCTCGATACAGAGACAATCTGCAACACGATGAAATGACATCTTGAAAATAAGCACCCTGGCATAAACAAATCAAAGTCTGACCACAGGAACTGGACTTTTGTTTTGTTTTTTTCCAAACCTAATTCCATGGGACGTTCATGAGGTTTAACAATGCAGTGAGTGATTTCTGAGAAACACTGTCAATATTTGAAATCAACCCAAATAAACACCCCAATGACACTCAAAACTGTCCTGTTACTAGAGCTCACATTACAACAACAGCACATCTTGGTTCTGCAAAACCAGTGTTACTCGCGTATGGAGCAGAAACAACACCGGCGTCTGTTTTCAGGCCTTCCCGCTTCGTTCACTCCAGTGCTGGAAAGCTTTTCTAATATTAATTCGGGTCCTAAAGCTCTTGCCTGATCTTAATCCTTTTCCCCCAGTGAAATTCCTCTGAGCTTTTCTCTTTTGTAATGTCTCTCAGTCATCTTTCTTTCTACAGTCTTTCTTCAAATCTCCCTCTTGCTCATTCTCTCTCTTATCCTATCATGAGTGGATATGCCCCTACTGCTGATTGGCTCATTCTCTCTCTTATCCTATCATGAGTGGATACGCCCCCTACTGCTGATTGGCTCATTCTCTCTCTTATCCTAGCATGAGTGGTCACGCCCCTACTGCTGAATGGCTCATTCTCTCTCTTATCCCATCATGAGTGGTCACGCCCCCTACTGCTGATTGGCTCGTTCTCTCTCTTATCCTATCATGAGTGGATATGCCCCTACTGCTGATTGGCTCATTCTTTCTCTTATCCTATCATGAGTGGATATGCCCCTACTGCTGATTGGCTCATTCTTTCTCTTATCCTATCATGAGTGGATATGCCCCTACTGCTGATTGGCTCATTCTTTCTCTTATCCTATCATGAGTGGATATGCCCCTACTGCTGATTGGCTCGTTCTCTCTCTTATCCTATCATGAGTGGATATGCCCCTACTGCTGATTGGCTCATTCTTTCTCTTATCCTATCATGAGTGGTCATGCCCCTACTGCTGATTGGCTCGTTCTCTCTCTTATTCTATCATGAGTTGATATGCCCCTACTGCTGATTGGCTCATTCTTTCTCTTATCCTATCATGAGTGGATATGCCCCTACTGCTGATTGGCTCGTTCTCTCTCTTATCCTATCATGAGTGGATATGCCCCTACTGCTGATTGGCTCATTCTTTCTCTTATCCTATCATGAGTGGATATGCCCCTACTGCTGATTGGCTCATTCTTTCTCTTATCCTATCATGAGTGGTCATGCCCCTACTGCTGATTGGCTCGTTCTCTCTCTTATTCTATCATGAGTTGATATGCCCCTACTGCTGATTGGCTCATTCTTTCTCTTATCCTATCATGAGTGGATATGCCCCTACTGCTGATTGGCTCGTTCTCTCTCTTATCCTATCATGAGTGGATATGCCCCTACTGCTGATTGGCTCATTCTTTCTCTTATCCTATCATGAGTGGATATGCCCCTACTGCTGATTGGCTCATTCTTTCTCTTATCCTGTCATGAGTGGTCATGCCCCCTACTGCTGATTGGCTCGTTCTTTCTCTTATCCTATCATGAGTGGATATGCCCCTACTGCTGATTGGCTCATTCTTTCTCTTATCCTATCATGAGTGGATATGCCCCTACTGCTGATTGGCTCGTTCTCTCTCTTATCCTATCATGAGTGGATATGCCCCTACTGCTGATTGGCTCATTCTTTCTCTTATCCTATCATGAGTGGATATGCCCCCTACTGCTGATTGGCTCATTCTTTCTCTTATCCTATCATGAGTGGATATGTCCCTACTGCTGATTGGCTCGTTCTCTCTCTTATCCTATCATGAGTGGATATGCCCCTACTGCTGATTGGCTCATTCTTTCTCTTATCCTATCATGAGTGGATATGCCCCTACTGCTGATTGGCTCATTCTTTCTCTTATCCTATCATGAGTGGATATGCCCCTACTGCTGATTGGCTCATTCTCTCTCTTATCCTATCATGAGTGGTCACGCTCCCTACTGCTGATTAGCTCATTCTCTAGCCGTTTCTCAATATGCGTTCTTGTCTGTACTTGTGTTCTTATGGACTTGTGAAACGTCATCAGTCGCTGCCCAAGTACTGTTCCAATTCGTCAATGGGAGAGGAGAAAATCCGCGAAATATCAAAATACTACTGTTATTGTGTCATGAAGTGTAATTTTAAGAGTGTTTCAGGCGAGAATGTGGTTGTTTAAATCTCAAATCTGTGGTTTATTTATAAAGATAGCACCTATTTCAAAAATGTATCTGACGTTTTCGGAGCTCTGACATGCAAGCCTTCACCGGCGCCCAGCGCTCATCAACCCCGACTGGAACAGCTTTTCCTCGGCTAGTGCTTCTGACGACAGATGTCTCGTCTAGTGGATAAACTTGACGTATAATTCGTCTTGTGTAATAGTCTATCTTTGGTCTCGTCTCATTTAACTAGTTTGTTCCATGGCAAAAAAAAAATCGTTTTATTGTGTTATTATAAATAAATATTTTTATGTATTTATTTATTTATTTTTTTACATGATCTTCACTATATGAACAATAAAATGAAAAGAACTGTCTTTGTTTGTTAAATGTCAATAAAAATCAATAACGTTTCATATTTTTAAAATGAAAACAAAAAGATCATGTTCATTTTGTTATTAATATATGGAGTGAAGATAATCAATATACGCCTGAACCACATGGCCAAATATGGTTAAGATTTTTTTTTTAACGAAAAGAGGCAAAGTGGTGTTTTATAACAAATTTCGTTTTATTTTTGACGAAAAGAGGCAGACTTGTAGCATATTTTGTTTTATTGTTGCCTAAAATATATATAAATAGATAACTGGAGTAACCAGAGCTTGCTGAGTGACGCGATCAAGTACGCTCTGTTCCATTTGCAGAATAACCGGACTTGCGTCCTCTCGACCTCGGGAGTTCGTTCTCCTGAGTCGTACTTGGCAAGTCTGAACTACCAAGGTCGCAAGTCCGAACTTTGCGTACTTGGTATTGAGAAACGGCTTCTCTCTTATCCTATCATGAGTGGTCACGCCCCCTACTGCTGATTGGCTCATTCTCTCTCCTCTCCCATCATGAGGGGTTACGCCCCCTAGTGCTGATTGGCTCACTCTCTCAGTGGTTTTGAACACAGCATGTTTTAAATGTTCCCTCTCAGCACTGCATCAAGGGTCATGATCTGTCATGAACACTGAACACACAGTAACTCACATGCCTTCCTCCTTCGCAATCTCAGCCAGGATAATGGGGGTGGACTGGGACTTCCGGTTCTCATCCACTAAAACCAACGACAAATGTCAAATATGTAATCATTCTTCATGCCTTTTCATTATTGAGAGAGTGAGACACATGAAACATTTATACTTTTAACTTATATTATATATATACACACATTATACTGGAAAGGTTTATTGAAACTTTAGACAAAATATACAAAATATTTGCATGTTCATATTTGAGACAGGCTTTTATGGCACATTTAGTATGATATGACAAAGTGCTCATACTCGAGGACACATAAAAAGACATTTTATTATTTTGGCTTATACAGTCAAAAAGTAAAATGAAATTCTGATGCATGTAAATCAATGAGATCTTTATAACAGTATACTGACTACTTGCATTATATCGGTTGTCACTATCTCTAAATCTTAGTGATATTTAATGCTAGTTTTATGATCAAAGCTCTGTGGTTTTAAAACATATAATGCAATGCAATGCAATACAATGATGATTGAGTGACGAACAAATAAACCTTCCTCAAAAGCCTGATATTTTAACATTTGTTTTTCAACAAAATGATGTATGAATAATCAAGTAAAGCTATGTTTCTTCAGTTACATTGAGTGTTAATCTTGAAATATTATTAACAACATAAAAGTTATTCTGGCGTTTACTTTATAAAAATCAGTAAAGATTCCACAGATGTGTAAACCATAAGCTGAAGGTTTACACTAAAAGGTTTTTTTTTTACTTGCTAAACCAGATCGATTAAAGGCTTGTGGTATATTGTGCAACAGGTTTTTCAGCAAAGTTTGTATCATGGTGATAGTTTAGTTCCTTATAATTTTGCGTATCAAATATGATACAGTTTTGATAATCAATACAAATTTCTAGCTTAATAAACAGTTTAAAGCGCAGTATAACTAGGAAGTTTTTATTCACTAAAACAATTTCCATTACACTGCTGCTATTTTTCTGTTAGAATTGTTTTAAATGTTATAATGCCAATATTTAATTTAGATTTTACTTCATTTAAATATAAAACAAAGAGAATAGCTTACCCTGAAGTCTGATCCTGGCTGTGTCCAGAGGGAAAAACACTGTCATTGCTGTCACACTGCCCTTCAAGGCAATAAAACACAGTTTAACAAACATCTCACACTCAGAATATTATTAAATCCCAGGGGAAGACACTTATAAAATATAAACTAGTTTTTAGTGTGGTGTTTTCTCACCATTGCGCCTGCCACCGCATGCACAAGTGTCTCATATGACAGCAGGGCGACTGATCTGCCGCTGTCTGACATCTCGCTTTTACTCTCTCTTCAGTCCTAAACAACTGACTACAGCGTCTTGGCTTTATGTAAAATAGTTGACAGTCATAATAAGTAATAAATCTCAGATAATTACAGTGGAACAGTCAAATCACGTTCGACTTCCGCGTTCGGCTCTCTTGGATACTTGTGCGGATGCTTCTAGTCCCCGCTGCTCTTCAGCGCCCCGAGCGGCGGGGTGACACACTGCAGTCACGGTCTACTTCCTACAGGGGGAGCTTGTGACTCGGAAATCAGATCCGCCTTTCTCTTTCTGGACAATAATCACAACTCAATATTACGGTATTATTGGGAATACTATTATTTTAGAAATTATTGGAACCACAGCTGATGTTTTTGGTCTCTTGTTCTCACTAACTATGTATATCTTAGTGGAAATCGTGAAAGGTTTAGGTAACCCTCACGAAAAAGTTTAAGTGTGCTAATATTATACATTTTTAATCTAAAAATAAGAAAGTATGCTTTCAGTCTACTTTTGGTATCACTTTATTTTAATGTGATATCAGTCTACGCGTTAACTAACTAACTTAACCCTGAACCAAATCCTAACTCTATAGTAGGCTACATGTTAAGTAATACAAAGTATAACCCTACTTTTTATGTTGCTAGCTACAGAATATAGCAAGTAAGCTAACTTAAACTGACAGAAAAGTCCGTGTATGGTCTATACTTGTACTCAATCTTTTTTTTTTACCCACATAGTTTACTGAGTTAGTAAATATGTGAATTCGTGTAGACTGGTGGTGTCCATAAGAATTTACTTCAAATCAACTTATAGTACAGTTGAAGGTATACCGTATAGGTAACACTTCCTTTTACAGTACAGTACAGTGTACTTACTTAGCAAGTACTGGGTTAGAGATAGTTTTAAGATTAGTACCAAGTTATTACAAAAATCATACCTAAATAGGAACATAATAGTACACTAAAAAATGCTGGGTTGTTTTAACCCAATATTGGATCAAATATGAACAAACTCAAACATTGGGTTAAAAATGTCATTTAAAAATGTAACCAAATGGCTGGGTTTGTCCATATTTGACCCAATATTGGGTTAAAACAATCCAGCATTTTTTTAGAGTAAAGTGCACAAATAATATATAAACAGTAAACTATAAGTATGATGTTGAGTTCACTTAACAGTATACTTGCAGTAAAACTAGTAGTCATACTGAGAGTGTACTTTCACAAACAAAAAAAAGTGTATACCTCCTATAGCCTATAGCTGCATTACAAATGGAAAAACTTAGTTGTGTATAAGTTTACTGTAACACTATACTTTAATAATTAAAGGTATACTTTTATATACTGAATAACAAGTGGGCCAATTTACTTCCAAGTAGTATTGAAAAAGCATTTACAAGGATACTTCTAGTACTTTGATGTTATTAGTAGACTAAATGCCCACTTCTCAGACAGCAACACATTGTCGGCCCAGATCCGGCCCACATCTGGTACGCATTGAATCCACATGCACCAGATGTGGCTGGGATCTGGGCCAATGCTACTGTATGATGCTATTAAATTTGACTTCGAGCTCTCTCAAAAATTAATAAATAAATAAATATATATAAATAAGACATAGTTAAAGCGTTCTGTGTTAAGGGGGAAGTGTCATACATACAATAACATCTGCTCGATTAAAAAAAAAATTAGAAATGACTTTGACTTCTTAACTCAAGATATTGACATTTGAAATATTAAAATGAAAACTATAACAATAAGAGTATCTCGGTCAAACTAACACTGATGGCGTGTGTCTGCATGGTAAACGATTCCAGATCAGCCTGGACTTTAGTTTATGACAGTGACATGGGTGTCAGAGTTTCTCCTCCCTCAGACACACACACAGAGACCGAGCACGCAAGAGGAGTGAGCAATGATGCTCCTGTAACACTTCGTGAAATACAGTTCACTTGCTGAAGAGGAGAGATAGTTATTACAGCCATGTCACGATATCACAAAGCAGCCATTGATGGCTATTTGGAGCTACTGAAAGAAGCCACAAGAAAAGACCTGAACACGCCGGATGAGGACGGCATGACACCCACTCTCTGGGCCGCGTACCACGGACACATTGAGGCTCTTCAGCTGATCTGTAGCAGAGGGTGAGCTCAGAAAACACACTTTCCCACACACAGCCTACTGATCATGTTCAGTGTATGGCTAGCTTTACACATTTAATCAAGTCTATACATTGAGCTTTCATCCAGGATAGTGTTTTGTTTTATTTTACAGTTTTACAATGGGTGTTACCTTGCTTTGTTTGTCTTATAACTGTTTTTAATCATTGAAGGCCATGTTACATTTAGCAACTGTAAAAAATATTTTCAAGATTTGTTATCACAACATATTTTCTTTTGTCAAATCAACTTCATAATAATTTATTTAGTTGAGATAACTTGTTATTTTGAGTTTGTGATGATTAAATCATTCACTTTTTCCAGTTCAATCAACTTAAAATTTCAAGGCAACCCAGGTTACTTACTTTTTTAAGTTAAACCAACAATATTTTTTTACAGTGTAGTAATCACAACATTTTTTTCTTTTGTCAAATCAACTTAAATAATTTATTTACTTCAGATAACATATCATTTTGAGTTTGTGATGATTAAATCATTCTCCTTCATTGTATTAACAAATTTTTTCCAGTTCAATGAACTTAAAATTTTAAGGCAACCAGGTTACTTACTTTTTTCAATATTTTTTTACAGTGTATTACTATACAAGCAAACTGTGATCTTGATCCTTTTGTAATCTAGGACTTTTCATTATTGCAGTGGGTACCTTGTGAAAAATAAGTGTGCTTAATTGTATTGAATATGTGCACTTGTAGACCCTAAAAGTGTATTTTTTTATTTTAAAAATAAGTTTTTAGATAACATAATAATAATGAAACAAAAAGCCACTTAAGTGCCCTTAAAGAGAGACACTTTCATGACTGTTTCTTAACACACTTACAGTAAGTAGACTTTTAAAAAGTGCACTTTGCAATATTGTCAAATTCAAAAGTTTTACTGTAAAGTAGTCGATGTGTTGACAAAGCACATGTGAAGTACTTGATTAAAAATATTGTTGGTTTAACTTAAAAAAAATAAGTAACCTGGTTGCCTTAATATTTTAAGTTCACTGAAAAGTTAATACAATGAAGGAGATTAATTTAATCACCAGAAACTCAAAATATTATGTGTATCTGAACTACATAAATTATCTAAGTTGATTTGACAAAAAGAAGAAAAAATGTTGAGATTACAAATCATGAACATATTTTTTTTACAGTGAGAGTTATGTTTATGTTAAATACTTTATATGTTAGTTTAAATGTCCTTATTTACACACACCTTTCAACAGAAATGAATTATTAAAGTGTTAATTAAATAAATTAAAGTGTATTTTAGTTTATCATTAATGTTTGTCAATACATTCAGCAGTAACTTTATTCAAAAACAACAAAGTAATTGTGAAATTACATTTAAAGATGTACTTAAGTCTTACTTACTGTGTCAAAAAGCATTGCATTTAATATAAATTGAATTACAACATGCACTAAAGTGTCTAAAACCATTACATTAATTTCACACTCAAGTATCCTTTTTTGAAATTTTATTATGTCCGTAATAAGTACTCTTTTAAAAAAAGTATACTAAAGTGTGCTTCGTTTTCACAAGGGGTGTTTATACATTACATATTCCCCAGATTAAACCATTTTTATGACCTTTGGGCGGTTTCCTTGGAGTCTCTTTGCTTTATGAGCTATGTTCACCACTCGCGATTGTACTACAGCAAATCACATAAACCGATGTCATCAATATAACAGCCTACCACTGAAACACTCAGCATGATAAAAAGTTGATTCGAATCACAGCATTTATGTAGTTTAGTCTCGGGGAAGCTCTGTGTCCTCCTCTGACTTTCTTTCTCGCACGATCTGCTGCGTACATCGCTTGTAAATTTCCCAGAGTTGACGCCAAGAGTTTAATCAGTCAAATTAGTTATGCAAATCTGGAACAAAAGGCCTCTTCATCCCTCCAGCATTTGCTCAGGGTAGAGTTTATTTATTGAGTGCAGCATTGAGGCCGATCTCACTCAAAGAGCACTGATCGCCATGGTTGGCCCTCAAACCGTATACAAGCCCCTTTCTAAATGTGCTGTGTGATGAATGCGAAGCTGGGTATGGATATTCAGATATATAGTCTGAAAGTTAGTTTCTCTTTTTAATGATACTTTTCACAACCTGTGCCGCTTGTACTGTGCGCCTCATCCGCTGAGGAACAGATGGTGCTCAGTCAGTGAGATAAGCTCTTGTAGATATTGTAATCAGAGATTTTATGGGTGGACCTGATGGACTTTCGTTTTACAGCCGGTTACATATTGACTCTTTGGATGGATTTAACCTCAAGCATCATGAGTTACGAGAAAAATATGTTAGGGTGGAATTTTAATTGCTGCTGCTGGGGACAAATGAGTCTGAGAGGTGGTAAAGATTGTGGTCATTTTGCTGTTGCTTTATCTAATTTGTCTTAAAGTGCTCATTAATATGTTTATAATTATAATTACATTATTTTTGGCAGAAATAGTAGGAGTAGTATGCTAGTATGCAGTTCCAAAACCAAACTCCTTTCTCTTAAAGGCCCGCCTTCCTAAACACCCAGACTTCTCTGATTGGTCAGCTGGCCCAATCTGTTGTGATTGGTCTACAGCTTAGAGCTTTTGTGAGAAATGTAACGCCCCTTACTATGATCGGTTATCAGCTTCTGAGGATTTGTGAGCTGTTGAAAACGGTATTTTATCTATGGGAACTATGACATCGGTATTGACAAACAAGTTTGAGCTAATTAGATAATGAGATCTCCTTGTCAGAGCAAAATCATTTACCCAACTGTTTTGGCGACATGGCTAAGGCCCCGTGACCCCGTCCACGCTACTGCGTTTTCGTTTAAAAACGGAGAATTAAATTGAATACGATCTCCGTCCACACTAGCGTTTTATTTGCATATTAGAAATGATCTCCGTCCACATTAAAACGACTGAACGCGGATCATGTGACCATTCACCAACACTCGGCATGTGTGTGCCGGTGTAAACAGTGGCTGACGAATCAGTGAAGGACACGTCATGACTGACGACACCCAATCATA